CACAGTCCAGGTTACAACCGCAGGGAGCCATCAAAATGGAGAGATTGGCAGAGTAAGGGATACAAATGTGAAATAATGGGAACCACTGTCCAGTGAAGAAAGAGGACACCCAAATAGAGCCTCAGGGGACTGTCTAGGAGAGCACACAGAAGGATGCAATGATCAGTTCTGGAAGTAAAGGAGTGCAGTTAGGAAAGAAACTTTCTAGAACGTCAAGGCAAGGTAGAGCACATTGTCCCGAGAAGGTAATCAGTAAATTCAGTGTCTCTAGAAATTCCACAACAAAGGAGTTCGTAAAATCGTTCAGAAGAACAGTTTTTTTATTTTTCAGGAACACTTAGTCACCTGATATATATTTTTTTTCAGTCACAACTTGGTTTATTTCAGTTATCTGACTTTTATTTGGACTTATTGTGGCTTATTTCACTCCATTCTTTTTGGTATGGCTGTGGTTGTCATGCATTAGCCTTTTGTTCAGTGGAAAAGATATGCAATACCATTACCACGCAGATCCCTTGCATCCCGAAGAAGCAGACTCTCCCTCCATCCGTGCGCTTTGTCCATGGCCCTCTGGTTGCTCCCCACCCCCACGGTCTCTCTCTGAGCAGCTCTGAGCCATTCCTGTCCCAATGCTGGCCCCCACAAAGTCTTAGCATCGTGTCTCTACAGTTTCACCAGAAAGGGCCCTGCAGGGGGGATTTGGATTTTCGGTTGCCTCTTGGAAGGCTCCCCAACAATGTCAGGGAAAGTGGATGCAGGGATAATGGGAGGAGGTGGGAGTGGAGGAAGCTTCTTAGATGACAGGTTGCTGCATCCGGAACCCTGACACTTGTGAAGTACTCTGTCAGGAACATTAAGTATCCAAAAGTGATAAAGCTTCAATTTGCTAGTCCATTAGACTAATTACTGCAATAATTAAGTAACTACTTGATTAGAACTAATGGGTACCTAATTATCCAGGAGAAAAGTATCAGGTGGCAATTATCAGGTGGCAATTAATAGACTGGAGTTAATGTCTTAGCAATGTCTTTGTATGAATTCATAAGCAAGGTAAAGAAAACAAACAATAGCTTATTAATATTTATTGGTGCCACAGTGTTTTTCAGCTTGTTTCATTTACATAGAACCAATTAGTGGAAAGCCCGTTAGAGTCACAGGATATAAAGAGAGGGAGGGAAGCAGAGTTAGCTTTTTAAAGGTACAGGAGCTCATTAGCAATAACCACTAACATTTAACCAGAATCAACCCTGATTTTAGCTTTGTTGCTGTAAATCTATGGAAAGGGGATCACACAGGTGAGAAATCAATAATCATGGTAAAATCTGCTGGAAATTGACTAATATATTGAACTCAAAGGGCTTATTAAAGATTTTCCTTGGTCCACTGGATATCTTTCATCTCTTTATTTGACTGCTACCTGTAAGGGGCTGGGGAGAGGCAGAGGGAAGAGATGTGAATTACTAACAAAGAAACTTTTCTTGTGACTACATAGCACGTAACAAACAGCCTTAGACTTCTCACCGTATGAAAGGTTCATCTCTTAGTCAGTGGGTGTCGAGCACTTACTAAGACTTGCTGCTGATAGCAGAAAATATTTGTCATCAAAATAAGATGTTTAAACAAGACTTCCCTCTGTGGCCATGTTCTTCTGTGGGGTAGAGACCTGCCTTGTACAAAACCACTTTGCTAGAAAGCATTAGACAGAGTTTGAAATTTATCACTCAAGTTTAGAAGAGAAAAACAAGTCAGCTATTTATTTATTTATTCTTTAATTCAGGAAAACATGTGGCCTGGTTGCAAGGCTTCCGGCAAACATAAGAAGAAGAACCAAACTGTAGGATCACACATGTGAAAAACCCTATCCCTCTGGAATATTCTGAATCCGGCATTTCAGCTGTGTCATGAAAATGATCACTACACATTTATTGTTTTCTTTTATTAATTCAGTGAAATCTTTTTTCCTGGACAACCACTTTTAAAAATTCAAGAGAGGTTTGGACCTGTGTTAAATTTATTAACATTTTAAAAGTCATATAATTAACCCTGTAGTAGAAGAAAACCCCATTTACTTTTATTTTATTTCCTTGCCCAGTATAAATAATTGAAATGGGTTTTAATCATATTTTCGGGAAAAAAAAAACAATCACCTTATATTAGAAAGCATACAATGACAAATGGAGATAAATCTAAAATTTATAGAAAGGGAGCATTTGCATAAACTGCAGAATCCAAACATATAGGGTATTAAGAGTAACAATTGTGGCGAGGGGCATGAAAAATTCAACTTTGGTTTTGTGGTAGGAAGCTGGATTCCTAACATGATTAAGATAATACATCATGCAACCTTCTCTTATTAAAGGCGTAATTGTCGTTAGGACCAGAAGAGGCGTCTCTGCTAATCTAGTTTTATATATGTACAAATATGAAGAGAAGTGAACTTGAAGACGCTTGCTTTTGGTGATCCATAGGCATTTTATTAATGTTTGAATAATAACCGCCTAGAGGGCCTGTTATAAATTAAAGGGACGGATGGAGATATAAATTTTTATGAGGACTAGTTATACATTTCCATTATGTGTTTAAAAATGAAGGAATTACTGTGAGCGCTGCAGCACTCACATTTATTTGAGGTGATTTGGACGGGACGGACGGTGGATGAGCGCCACGGTAAGGAAGATGTATCTGTCCCTCTGAACAGATACATCATATGTCACCGCAGACTCTGTTCTACCAAGACATTGCGCCACTGCCGAATCTGCATGATTATTTCTGTGACAATACAAGTGACGGTCGAGCTCGAGGTTCAGGCCGCTTCAGGGGGTTTCTTATGGTTAAATCCTGGAAGATTCCGCTATTATCTAGCTGCTAATGCAATATGGGGACTCAGAGATCATGGAGAGCGATTCTGATTTCTCTCTGGCTCCAGGGAGGCTTCCTAGGGTTTTTCAAGGGCCCAGATGCCTACAGTTGAGAAGCAGACCCCACTAAATGACAATCATCCTTTCTTCATGTCTTCCCGCGCCTTTCAACATTGTCCTAGGTTTTGTGGATGGAGTGGGTTTATGAATTGCCATCCTCTATGGACTCTCACTCCCAGGATTCAGGAAGATCCCTGGCAGATTTTTTTTTAATTTTATTTTTATAGTCCCCATACAATTGCAACCCCTTTATTTTGACCCCAATCCCTCTTTTCCCTCACCCCCCATAGTGTATCTCTGGTTCATAGTTGTTTGTTGATTTTGATTTTTTCTTTCTTATAGCTATTCTTTTTCCTGGTCCCTTATTTAGGTTTTCTAGATTCCTGCTATGAGTGAGACCATCCGGTATTTTTCTTTTTCTTTCTGGCTTATTTTGCTGAGCATGATCCCTTCCAGCGCCATCCATGTTGCTGCAAATGGCATGTGTTTATCTTTTTTGAATGCTGAGTAATATTCCATGGTGTATATGGACCACATCTTCTTGATCCAGTCATCTATTTTTGGGCATTTGGGTTGTTTCCAAAGCTTAGCTATTGTAAATAGTGCTGCTATAAACATAGAGGTGCAGGTGCTCTTTGGAATTGATGTTTCTGTGTCCATGGCAGATTTGTTCCTGGGCTCACATGATGACTCTCATGTGCACGTGCACACACACACATGCATGCACACACAAACACACAGTGCATATATACATGCACAGGTACACATGCATGCACACACCACATACCTGTACACCAACATATGTGATGCCTGTGTGTGCATATGCACATCCCACATATACACACCCATCTAAGTGCATGTACACACATGCTACACACACACATATACACACAAGCATAGACTTGTGGATGCAACCCAGACTCTAGGTGCACAAATGCACAGTATGATCAAATACTGCTCTCCCTATAGCGCCACCTGAATTTTAAAGTCAGGCAAGTCTACGGTTGCGCCCCAAACAGAATCTCTGAAGAGTGTGATTTGAGAGAGCTATTCAGTAAGTACCTTCAGTTTCCATATGTATAGAATAAAAAGTCCCTCTAGGGCCTCCCCTGGTGTTGCAGGTGGTTGAGTGCTGCGCTGTGAAGCTGTCCACAGCTTCTGCAGCACGGGTTCGATTCTGGCCAGCCAGCAAGGGTCCCACATGGCACGGCAGACCTCTCCAGTCGCACCTGCTTCTCCCCTCAGCAGTGTATTTCGTCAGTCTGCCTGTTCTGTTCCCCATTCTGTCTCTGGTGAATCTTCTCACCCTCCCACGCATCTGGCGTGTGCCCCGGTTCTTGTATAAAATAAATAAATAAATCTTTTTTTTTAAAAAGTCCTTCTAGGTACTGGGAAGACTAAATGTCATTTACTTTCAGTTGCCTATCCACAATAGGATCGTAATGTCTATTCTTTCGCCAGGGCTGCTGTGAACAAAGTGCCACAGACTAGGTGACTCACAGATATTGATTGTCTCACAGCTGTGGAACTGGGAGTCTCACATGAAGGTGTTGAGGGTTGGCTCCTTCTGAACCCCTTGGGGTCTGTTCTGTGCCTTTCTTCTTGGCATGTAAATGACTGTCCTGCCCACTCTGTCTCTGCATCGTCTTCCTTTTAAGGATGTTTCCGTGTCTAAATTTCCTTTTTCTAAAGGGCACCAGTCATTTTGGGAATAAGACTCATCCCAATGACCTGATTTTAACTGGTTAATCTCTGGACAGACCCAACCTCCAAATAAAGTCGCATTCTGAGTCCCAAGGTTTGGGACTTCAACATATGACTATCAGGATAGGGGACACGCGCACAATTCAATCTGTAACAAAACATTTGATGAATAAATACATCAACAAAAGAACAAAATCAATGATCTTGTGACGATGCAAGAAAAGGGGTGCTCTCATGCCCACACTTTATTCTCAAGTCATCATGCCCCTACTCAAGCTCATCTAGAGATCTGGGTAAAATTCAACTTTCCATATTGCTTAGGTTACCACTTCCTCTGGCATGGTGATGAGAAAATGGTGAATATTTTTTTCATTGCAGATTGACAAGAACCAGAGTTCTGTGAGAGAAACAGGGATGCAAGCTTCCGGGGGCTGGGCCACCCAGTGCCCTTCTTCAACATTTCCTTCCAGCCCTTCTGTGGCAGTCCCTAGTGAAAACGATCATTGCTGGAATGATTATAATGATGACCAAATAAAAGAAATATGTAGAAGAAAATCAGAGCTCTTGTTGTGCTGATTTTAAAATAGACCATACTATTCAAATGCATCTTTTCAAAACCCAGAAAACTCCCTAATCATAGGGCTATTTGAATTTAAATTCCAGAACATCAGCTCTTCACCAACATGCTGCTATTTCCCAATAGTAGTGATGTTGTTAAAGGATTACCTGAGGGCTGTGCAGGCTGCCTGGGGAGGCCTGGGAGTAGGGTGTGTGCGCTGGGGGTGTCATCGCTAGGTGGTTCATCAGGACCCAGGCTCTGGAGTTTTTTGTTTTTTGTTTTTTATCTTCAAATGGTTCTTATTATTGGGACACAAAGGAAATCACCCCATATCCTTCTCGGTTCTTCTTGGGCCGGACAAGTAATCAAACCAACATCGTGCCCGTTAACAGAGGAAAAGCAATCAATTTAATCCCATTCATGTGGAGCATTTACATGGCAGTAAGTTCTAAAGAAGCATGGAACTGACCAGGGATATTGATCTGGCATGTGAGGACTAGGGGCATCAAGGAGAGAGAGGGGACACCTCACCTGACAGTCAAGGATGGGGTGACCTCATCCCTACTCTGACAGTCAAGATGAGATTTTTTTTAAAGATTTATTTATTTATGCATACAAGAATTGGGGTGTAAGCCAGAGCTGTGTGGGGTGAGGATTCACCGGAGACAGAGTAACAGAACAGGCAGACTGACTGAAATACACTGCTGAGGGGAGCAGCAGAGGTCTGCTGTGCCACATGGGTAGCTCCTTGGCCAGCCATGGATGGAACTCGTGCAGGAGAGGCTGTGGATAGCCTCACAGTGTGGTGCTTAACCCCTTGTGCCACCAGGGAGGCCCTCAAGATGAGATTCTTAGACAGAGAGGACATGTTCACTGTTAACCTACACCTAGATGAAGCCCCCGCACTACATTCTTCTGGGTCATAAAAGGGAGGACACAGTGATTGCTTCTTCCATTAGGAGAAGGGCAAAGGATTCAGCCAAGGAGAAAAGCTCTCCTCGGCCATCAGGGCCCTCAGCACTCTCAACTCAATGCATCTGCATTCTCAAAGTGCTGGTAGAGACCTCTGCAGGCTTGTTGAGACTGAATAACCTCTAGTTCCCATACCAGGGGGCACTCACTGGAAAAAATCTACTCTGGGCCATTGAGAAAAGACTACCTGGCTCCTTCCAGGGACCAACTCCACATTATGGAAATCCACTTACATGAAATGACTCACAAATAGTTACGAACCTGGCGTTATTTTCATATACAGACCTGAGCTGGTGCCTAAACTGTCTCATAGCCCTGGAGACTGGGCTATGAGTCTCCAACAGACGTCCTCTAAATTTTATGTTCTAATTTCATCTTCAATTTCCAGCTGTGGTTCAGGGTGAGCTGTGTTGCAGCAGAGGTTCTCAGTGGGCACTGGATGGTGCTCTTGAAAGCAGAAGTGATGGCAGTTCCTGGGGGGCTGGTGGAAGAGTTGGAAGTTCATGAGTCAAAAGTGGGGTGCCGATCACAAAGAGAAGATTCCGGGGTTCACAGTGTGGGGTAGCGGGAAGGGACAGCCAGCCAGAGGCCATTACTTCTGCAAGCTGTTAGTGTGCAGTCTGAGGAACAGACCGAGGGGTAACTGGTACCCTTAAACTTACACCCTTTAGTTCATGTGCAGGATGATTACAGCCCAGAAGCTGGGAAGATGGGAGTTTGAACATGGACATGCATTTAACCACTTGGTTGCTGGAATTTTCAGGAATATAGCTACACTTGTAGATATCATCCATCCATTTATCTTTCATCTATTGATCTATTGATTTATCTATCTAGCTATCTAGCTATCAATCAGATTTACACATTTCTATATACTCAACTGTTTTTCTCTTTGGTGGTGTCTGCGCACAAAGGACATCATTCCAGATCCTCTAGGTTCTTCCAGGCTGGCAAATAAACAAACAGGCCTCCAACAGATTGATAAGAGAAAAATCCATAGGGAAGTTTAATAATAGTGTGACTACCTCCTGCATTCCTGGGAGAGACCCAGCAGGACTGAGGAACTCACCCAGGTAGTTTTAGACACCATCTTAAATAGCTTAACTAGGGCATGAAATGTTGGGTGAAGAAGATGAAATTCAGTTAGGGAGTTTACCAGGAAAAGGCAGGAATATATATTCAAGTTCCACCTTCTCCAAGGAAAAGAAACAAGATTAGGTCTTCTTGGGAGATCCCCTTACAGAGAGAAGTTACACATAAAAATCAGAAGCAACTTCCATCCAGTCTTCAGAGCCCTAACCATGAAACCATCCTCCTGCCAAAGACATGTTTTGGGGTGGCAGATCTGTGATCCCCAGAGTAGCATTTCTAATAGAATGGGCTTTTACTTTTTTCTAGTCTACAACTAACTCTAGAAGAAGCTTTGTCATTCCTACATCTTCTCTTCTCTGGATGTCAAAATGGGCAAAACTGGAACATCACGTGATGAGAAAAGATATGGCAAAGTTATTTTTTTCTTCTGAATTTTATTTGGCTTTGACTCAGGTGAAAGTTCACTTTGGTTCTTATTTTATCCAGACCCGTTGTCCATCCCTCATGAGAGTCTTAGATTTCTGGATTGTCTCTGTCACCCTATCTGTGTTAAGCGTCCTCTTTCTCATTCCTACAGACAGCCCTTGTCTTGCATTGTGATGGGTCTGGCCTAGCATAGCCAGCACGGCCTGCCTCATCTGTACCCTAGAAAAACAAAGGCACTTGGTTCTTTCCTGTTCAATACTTCCAAATCCATTGCCCCAAATTTCAATGTTGTTATTTCATTCTTGATGCAGCAGAGAGCAAGGCTGATATTTTACAAACTGGGTTTCTTTAATCCCATTGACACTGGCCTCCCCTTTCAGCTTAGTTACCCATTATTTTAATCAGCAAAGTAAGGAGATGAAGGGACTCTGCAGGGAGGTTAGGGAGAGGTGAGAGGAAAATTGGATATGAACTAAAAGGTTAATTCTCCTATGACTTTCCATATTTTGAATGAATAGTTGAAAATTTTATAGGAAATAAAGAAGACTATTATTAGTCTAAAAATGAGACTTGAACTACCTCAAATTCAGCAATCAGACTTTTCTTTATCGATGAAAATAATACAAAGAAAGAATTGTATTACCCACAGTGACAGAGGTGTGTACTAGAACCTGCCTACCCCTGGACGAGGGTCATGTGTGGATGTGTATCTGAGATAAGAAAGCATCTGTCATCATTTGACCCCACTGGTCTCTCCAATTAACCAACAGACACAGTCCAGAACCCCTGTGGGGAAAGAGGTGAAGAATCATGTACTTACTATAGCCGTTCAGCTTGAAAAAGTCCTATTGTTGACTCAAAGAGTCTAATCCACCATCATCAGCCCTCCTACTCCCCATTTCAACTCGCAACTTTCGATCAAGAAGTGACCAGGGCCTGGGGGAAGGAACCAAGCTCACAATTTCTCAGTCGCCCTCTTTGGAAGCTCAAAAGCATTTTTCCCTGAATAGATCATTTAATCTCCTTGTTCCACAGCTTCCTCTCTTGTGAGATGGAGGTCATAATACCAGCATATTTCAAAGGGTTATGGGGAATACTATCTGGTTAGCCATTATAAAGCATTTTACAAATACCAAATTTTTATACAGTCTAAGTAATTCTTGTAAGCATCAAATTTTATACAGTTATCAAGTATGATCAGTTTTTTCTTCCTATTTCCCTGGGTGTTTATCCTTTTCTCCTTTTCTACCTCTTCTTTCACATTATTATGTCAAGAAATACAATGCCTCTCCTTCCTCCAGTCTAAGGACTTGAAAGAGTCTTCAGGGCAGGGAAGAAACTTCTCAGAACGATTACTTGTCAATTCAAGTGCAAAAGTTTCAAGAGAATTGGCACCAACACATGACTCTGAATGTCTTTCTAGAAAAAAAGGATGTTGAAGGGAGAAGTTAGATTTTTAAAAGACACCAAAATATACTTCTTAGACCATAAAAACATCTGTCCAGGGAAGGCTGTTGCTGTCAGCATCTGAGGCTAAGGTATACATGTTTGCTCATCCATACCTATCGCTCACATATGGATACTACATGGAAGACTATGTTTCCTTGTTTCTTAGATGAAAGATCTGCCCACAGTTCCACAGGGAAGGGGAGAATGTGGACCTTTCTGGACCCCAAACCTGTTGTCTGTGCACACAGAGGCATGTCACCCTTCCAATAACCCTTCCAATTAACGCAAATTCAATTCAAATTCAACACTTCCAGTAACTCACAACTGAGTGGTACAGACAAACTAGCTGGACCCCAGTGATCTACTTTGTGATCAGGTTTCTGCTTTGTAGGTACAGGACTCCTCATTAACTTGTCAGAGCTCAGTGCAAAGAGCTGTACAATGCAGGAGGACAGTGAAAGAAACATTTTTATTTGTAACTTCTCAAAGTTTGAGCACATTGTTTCTTCCACTTTAGTAAATATTGGTTTTTTGAAATTTCTTTTAAATGATGACTAAATGATGATATAATTTGGGGCGCATAACTTCACACATCCTGATAGGAGTGTAGAAGAAACGGCACCATCTCAAAAAACAAAAAGGAAATGGTTTCCAAAGGAAGTTCTGAAATTTCCATAAAGAAGACCCAAGAAGCTTGCCTATATGAAAGTAAAATTAGAAATTATGATGATATAAAACTAAGATATGAGGGTTGTGGACTTATACAAATTAATGATAGAACTAAAATACCTCACAATAATTCTGCATACTGTGAGGGGGTTGGCCAGAGTTAAAATATTTTAAGGAAAAAGAAAAGGTGACTAAAATAGAGAGAAATCTAAAGGGAAGCACATCATTGAGAATTTGACATAGTTATGGGGAGGAATAGAAATTATTTTACCAGATGGAGTCATAACATGTTCAATTGGGATGTTTGCCTGAGGATTGTAGAATGACTGGTAAGTTAAAAGAGCTATTTTTTATGGATATTGTGGTCTCTATAAGTAC